ATAATAATATATATATAATTACTTCTCTCTCTCTCTCTCTCTCTCTCTATATATATATATATATATATATATCGAAAATTCATCATATATTGTCCACTTTAATCCAATTAAAAAAAAAACATTTTCAAAAATGTTTTTAAAAATGTTTAAAAAACATTTTAAAAACATGTTAAAAATAATAAATTAAGTCATCTTTTTTTTATTAAAAAAATATTTATTTTAATGTTTTAAGAATTTTTTTTTATATTTTTAATGTTTTTGGAAAACATTTATTTTAACATTTGAGAAAAATATTTCTTCTTCTTTAATGTTTAAAAATATTTCTTGAAATAATTTTAAAAAATGTTTTTTAACATTTTTTAACATTTATTTAATATTCAGAACATAGAGAATACCCATCCTAAATATAGAGTATAATACAAAGAATCGAAAAAATACTTTAAAAATACTTTATTTTGAATTCTCGAAATTGCATTGTCAAAATATTTTATTTATTTCTTTCGAAGAATAATTTTATAGGCCTACTGCATCATCCCACCATCATTTTATTAGAACATGATTTAGAAAGTTTATAATATCGTGCCTTTTATACTAATCAGATTTCTTAGTTACGAGAAATAGGGCCGGTCCATGGTGGAATGAATACATGGTGTGCGCAGTGTCTCTTTTTAAATATGTGTGCTCTCCGTCTATTGACTGCTTGTGTAGGCAAGAGCTACCAACTATGAAACGCGAATATATTTCGTGCCGAGAAGTTGGTATGCTGAATCTCTCCTTGTTTCACACACTTTATAATGCATCGTAGTTTCTCTTTCTAAATTCATGATTTCTGTCTTAAATTAAATATTGAATAAAAAATTAAATAAACAATGTTGATAACCAATATAGAATAATTTATAATCTCTATTGGGAGGATTTTCAGCCGAATGATCATTCTTTTGAACTTCAAATCTTTATGATATGCATGAGAAAAATGATTACATAAATATTTTCATACTTTGCATGTAAATAATAATAATAAATCTTAAAATACTATATATAATAATTACAAAAATTACAATAAACTTTTTTTATGACATTTTAAACAGTTTTTTTCTAAAACAGCATCCCAATGAATATCTAAAGGGAGCGTCTCGTTCATGTTACACTTGGACACAGCCACTTACAGCGACCGATGCCTAGAGATTTTCTACTGGATCAAATAATTTTATTTTAAATTGGCCAATTGGCAACGTAGACAATCGGGCGCCATCCGTATCTAAATAGAGTATTTCGGAGTTCACATGTATTTTTTAGCCATTTTACTGCGATGAAGAAGGAAATTTGCATTAAAAAAAAAACAAAAATTTATACTATATTTATAAAACAGAGCAAACATTTATGCAATATTTATAAAAATATTAACACTAACTTGAAACATAAACACTAACACTAACTTTAAAAATACAAAGTATAAGAATATAAAAAGTACAAGAATATAAAAAAACAAATGAGATTTATTATACAGATTTATTATAAAATATATACAGCGTTTCTATAATTTTTGTTTAATTGTACTGGAAATGATTTTTTTCATTTTTTTCTTTTTTTTCCTTTGCATCATTTATCAACCATCTGTTTACCTCTCGAACTTTTATATATGTGCGAGTTTTTACTGCTACATTTATCAAAACTGCTGTTGCAACTCGTTATACAATACTACACCATTTTATAGTATTAGGCTGGAGAGAAAACGAAACGTAAGCGTTTATCGTAAACGCTTATGTCCAATAACTTTTTGTATACGTGTAACCTCTTAGTGTCGGTGCACAATAAGTATTTAATTTTTAAGCCGTAAGAAATTGACTAATCATAGTCGAGTATTCTTTTCATATTCGATTATAATTGATCAATTTCTTACCTCTTAAAACTTAAATTACCTATTGTGGACCGACATTTATGTATACATTTTTCTCTACCTTAACCTACGTCTATGTTTACAGTAAACGTAAGCACTTATGTCTCATTCTCTGTCATCAACCTTACAACAAATTTTCCGAATGTCTCGCGAACGAAAGTAACACTTGTCCACGTGCAAAACGGAGTAGTGTGTACACACGGAACAGATAGAAAACGAAGTTTCTTTTCAGCAGTTGCTCGAAGAAAGTGCGTAAAATAAGAACAGTAGATCCAACATACCAATTTGATAACGCTAAACTACTTTTCACAGTTGGTAGTATTCCTTATTATAGATGGCTCAGGGAGTCAATCATGTAATTTTACGTGAAATTTTTCATTTTTTACTTTTCATTTTTCACATTTGACATTTCACGTGAAACTTTTCACGTACAGCAATTATGTATGTAGCTTGGATGCATGGAAAGTGAAATCATGAAACATAGTTTCATAGGTTTTATAGGTTTTATAATAAAAATTATTTTATTGGTACAGTATTATATACATCTTTTAATAACCAATTGTATATGTATTACGTACACTTAATCCTAACATAGCCCTAACCTTGTTTAATTCCGAAGCTATTTATTAATTCCCTAGATTTCCGCCTTTTCGCCATCAAGGTACATGACGAAAAAGTTCACATTTTCACGTTTAAGAGAGTTACATGATCGTAAGTTCACGTG